CTGTTTTGTGGCCAGATACCTTCATTCTTTTCTTGAGACTGCTCAGTCTCCAAGAAATGAAGTGTGATTTTTACAGTTTACATGGCAATGATTTATATGAAGGTCATGGCCTGTCACATGACAACACCTGACCCCACATAACATGATGTAAGTGTAAGAATCACAATCTTTCTCAGGGTCAGCAGCACCATGACACAGGTCCCTGTGTGCAACCCACCACCCACAAAGTGGGGTATATGCCTTTTACTTTTTTTAAATTTCTCTTTATTTTTTGTCAGCTCCCTGAATTACTTTCAGGTAGTTCTGCACATTTCTACTTTTTCATTTAATTAGGTGCAAACACTCTGAATAAGTAAAATAAAAAGCTCCCTGCAGCTAGTAGACTGTTGCAGACTGCCAGACACTGAAAAATATTTGTCTGTGTTACTGTTGCTTAATAATTCACATTTTACAAACAAAGAAATCTTTCTCTCCCTCTTTTTTCTCTCACTTTTCCAGTTGGTTTTTGGGGGTTAGAAGCTTGGATACAGCTGCAGAATAAGTTTGGATCCCAGTATACAGTAGGTGTACTATCCGTGCATACAATAGGTGTACAGTACTACCAAGGTTTTCCTGCCTACCTTTCAGTCACACAGACTCCATATCCTTTAGGAGATGTCAGTCATTGCAGTGCTTGTATGTAATGCTATATCATCTATTAGGTATTTAAGATCCCTTTACAGGTCCTTGGGAAGCCAAGCCATAATTCTTTTTCGTGTTTCTAGCAGCAGCACAAGTCATAGACTTCAGGAAAGCAGCTGTCCATCATGATGATAATACCATACTACAAAAGTATCTATGAAGAAACTTATGTTGATTTACTAAAAGCATATCAGAATGGTGTGTGAAGTTGGTTATCTCCATTTATATGTGGAGAGAGAGACTGAAGAGGTTGCGCAGACTTTCAAGTTGATGTGTTACAAAGCTGCACAACCCAAGTCCTTTTGGTTTTGACTGCTCTCACCATTCTATGGACAGCCATTACCAGCATGTCTGACCTATAGGAAATCAGTTATTTCGTGGCATTTATATATATATCAACTGGTACCTGAAAGTTTGGATATGATAACTCACACCTGGGCACGGATCACCACAAATAGTTATGGAGTTATTCAGTAATGCCATCATTTTATGTAGACACTGTAGCTGAGTGTAAGGCACGTAGCAAGCTGTATGCCTCACTTATTTCTGTATTTATCTCCTTTCAACTTCATCTTGAGACAGTACTTCAGAAATTCCAGACTGTATTATAAATTCTAAAAATCATGCTGCTTAGAGCAATTTAGTTACCACCTCACTCATATATCAATGTGGATCTCTTTCTTAAAAGAAAAAAAAATTAGGATGATAAGTAAACCTAAAGCCTATATTCCATTTAAATTCAGTTCTTCAAGCTAAATTTTGCAGACTGTCAACATCTAAAGCTATTGCATTTTGCAGAGAAACATGTTGAACAGAATCTCATGCTTTAGTGACAGAAAAGAGAGGTATCTTTTTCTGAACAGAAACTTTATTTCTATTGTGCTTTATTCTGATATGAAAAGTGACCTTTCCTATGACTTTCCATCATTCTTTAAAGATCAGTTTCTTTGCCAGCTGCAGCATTTTAACAAATCTGCCAACATCTGCCCAGCTTGGCTTGAGATAGCAAATGTTTCTGAATGTCTATTTGCTCAAGACCTTAGGATCTAGGTCCTTATTTTGGAAAGGCTTAAGAGTATGTGTTAGACTTTGCAGAATTGGAGCCTTTACATCTATAATGTTTATAGTACATAAATTTTAAATGACAGAAAGTAAATATTCCTAGTAGTAGATATGAAGAGATGAAATACAATAATCTCTATTGTAAATACACATTTTCCTGTTTTCAAATGTGTCTTTGTTCACTTGTATTTCTTTCAGATGTTTTATTTAGTATTAAAAAGCCACTCTAACTTGAATGACATATTCCAGATGTAAATGTATACAGATGCTCCTCAGGTACTAGATTATTGTACTACATTATTGTGTGCTTCACAGCACACAAGTGTTTTGTGTGTGTACATTCATGTGTATATGTACATACTTTATAACACAGTGCCTTCACATGCTTTTCTCCTTAAATAAAAGCTCACACATAGGGAAGCACTGTTTTATAAAATATCCCCGTTGGCACCTTCACTGATCCCAAGGAAGGCACGATTTATGATTTATGTAAAGCTGCACACACAATTAATCTTTTGTAATCTGTAGTAATACATTGTATTTCATACACTGAATAGTCTGACTGGTGTGTTACTACAGTGCTATGGATGCCAGAGGTTTTGAGCAAAAGGTTATATCTGGTTTTGAGCAAAAGGTTGTATCCGTTTCTAACCATCTTAACTTCCAGATTTCATTTTGAGTTTTTGGTTTCAAGAAGCAGGATTTGGTTCTAAAAGTGGGATTTTTTTCCTGATTAATGTCGATTTCAATGCAAAACAATGCATATCATTTAAGCATAAAACCTACTCCGCTCAGCTTTATGTAAATCTTCCAAAATACACTAGGAGCAGGAATTTTTGCCGATAGAAGAATTAGACTGGAAGGACAACTGTTTGGCAGTGAAGTACTAACCTTCCAGGAATTAATAACTGGTAAGTGTCCTTACCTCTCCATATTTACAGACTTTTGTTACAGTTGAAATGGGATGGCAAGAAGAAGCCAGGTCATTCTATGAATTGTTTATGCTTTCAAAAACGAACAGATATTATGGTCTTTTGTAATTCTTTAAAATCAGTAAGATGTTCTACTCAAGAACACAAGCTGAGATTTTCCAAGACAGGAGCCAGATTGGCAACATGCCTTTACATATATCAACAAAAGGAAATGAGCCAATTATAGCAAAACTAATCCAACAGACCTTTGGAATTTTAGATGAAAAACCTGGAGATACAGTCCTCTCCTCCAACTGCTTTGATCAAACTCACGAGGACAGCAAAGGGCCAACAAAGTCATCATCCCTATGACAAGTGTCACAGAAATCTGGAGCTATTGCTGTGGTCATGTCAGGTTTCTGTTAATGTTTGTGTGTCTTGCTGTAATTTCTTAGTTTCACGGAATCTCTTTGCTGGCTCACTAAAAGTGTATAGATTCAACATATTCTCATATTTTTGTGTCCTCTAATTTTTAGAATAGGGGTAGGTAGAACTATTGGAGCATCAGAGAGTTAAAACTGCATTTTATGCCATTAGCTATGCAATGTAAAACAAACATAAACTCAACAAATGTCACAATTTTCTGTTTCCCTTTCTGTCACTTTGTATGTTAATGCCTGTTGTACAGAGCATAGAGTTTCCACTGAAATGAAATGCAGTTTTGTAGTTCTGTTATGCCAACCATCCTATGTTAAAGATTAAGTGAGCAAGAAACTTCCCATTCTTCTAATTTTGGAGGTATTCCTTACAAGTTAGGCTGGTAAGGCAATGCAATAATAAGCTGCTACCATCCCTATTGTCAGGATAAACAGAAAATTCAAAGCGTATATGCAAGTTTTCAGCATGTACATTCACATGCCAGATATGAGCACAGAAAGGAGGAAGACTTCTTTAAGAGTCAACAGATCGGTGTTATCTGCACAAATTCATCAAATGTAGGTATTTTTAAAGCTTCCAGTAGTACTGTGGTGTTACTTGGTTCCTTGAATATCATATACAGGAGTTCCTGAGCTTGAGTCATCTCAGTCAGACGGAAAACAACATTGAGCAGGTTCATCATTCTCAGAAGATGCCTGCAACTGCCTGCCAGCACCTTGCCTTGTAGGACACCTCGGCCTCTGTCAGTGAGGAGGATCAGGTCCTTACTTCTGTTCCTGGTGGCTCAGTCTCTAGCCAGACTGAGCATTTTTGCCCAGCTTCAGATTTCTAAGGGAAAAATTTTAAGAAGCTGAAATAAAAGCAAAATAGGATGGGAATATGAAAACAACATTTCTGAGCCCTGCTGAGTTCCAACAGCAACAGAAAACTATTCTGTTTATATATTTAGCGAAATAAATCCTGGCATCAACACCAGTATGTTTCCTCTCATTGTGGGGAATTCTTTTGACTTGTGTTGGGACAAATATAAGTCAAATGAGAATAAGGGACAGATGTCAGTGCTGTAAGTGCTAGTGGGAACTGGAAACTCCCTTCATCAGCTGCTTTCAGAGTGTTCCAACCTGACCAGCACCATTCATCTGGAACAGGAGTGCTGGAGAAGACTAGCTGACAGATCCCTGCTTCAACCTTCAGTTCCTCATGCCTGTCCCGAAGCTGGAATGTGAAGTAGCGGGATTAACCCATCCTGATGCTGATCTTCAGGGAGGCTTGGCCGGCAGGGTCCCATGCCATTTGGCACTTTTCCTCAGCCTTTACGTGAAGACCATCACTCTCGCTGCAGCAGCCACTGACCTCAGCAAGGCACTGCTGGCTGATTTCACGTTGGAGAGAGGAAAACACTCCCCACGTCTGCACCCGTCCCTCTGGAGATGCACAGCTAAGCCCACAAACTCACCACGTGCCAGTGCCAGCTATCTAGCTGCCCTTCTCCTCTCATCCAGGGGTTTCTTCTCGTCGCTTGTCCTTTCCCCCCCTTTTCTCTCCCTCCTGGCTTTTACATTTCTTCCACCGTGATCCATTAGGTATTTACCAGCAGGATAATGTGACTTTTCACACCGGCTCTCCGTCTGCACTGCCCTGCAGCCGGGACTGGATAAAGCCTCTCCCAGCCCCAGCTGGCTGGACATCTCCCCCCCACCTTCCCCTCCCCTTCACACTACCCAAGCCAAGGATTCCTCTCTCCCTCCCTCTTTCTTTTTCCACCCCTCCCGCCTTCAGTGCAAGCCCAAGACGCAGGATCCTGCCGAAGGAAAGTGCTCCTTGAAATCATCACCGCGGACCCCGCTGCGAAAGTGCAGAGGAGGAGAGAGAAAACGCCTCGGCAGCCAACCTCCTGCGGCTGAGGGCTTTGCAAACAGGGCAATGGCTCTAGGCTCTCAGAGATCCTCTCTCACCTTTCTCCAGGGTGTGGGATCTGTCTTCTTCATTCTTCAGATCATCTCTGTTCAGGCTGATGGTGAGTCTCCCATTCAGTTTGGGCTGGGTTGCTATGGCTGGAATGAGAGCTGTATGTTGAAACGTGTTATTGCAAAAAAAAAACCAAAACAAACAAACAAAAAACTTTTTTTTTTTTTTAATAAGAAGCTTAAATACACTTCCCAGTTTGGGTTAGGAAACTTCTGATTCAGAGGTTTTTGAGACTCTACAAAAATCCTAGGGTTAAGCAGAAAAAGGAAATAAGATCTCAAAAGGGTAAAATTATTTTATTACAACAAAATGACAGGACAGTGAACTTTTCCAGAGGAAATAAGAATAATAAAACAAAGCCAGAACACGACTAAGAAGACTCAACTATGTTTTAGGAAACGTCTTTTCTCTGAAGAACTTCCTCATCTGCCCACTTCAGATGCCCTGCGATGTCAATTTATTCGGGTAGGTTCTTGAGAAAGGGAAAACAAAAAGTGAAAAACTTTCATAACATTTTCTGTTCAGTGCCACACACGCTGAAGATGCCTGCCCACCTTTCTGCACATGAGTTTCATCTGCACTTCACTGCTGAGGGATGTGCTCAGAACAGGAATTTGGCTGAAGCACCGGCTGCTGGTTACTCTGAAATGGGACTTTTTACTCACTGATGGTAATCCTGAATAGCTGCATCCCTTGAAAGTTTCCAGTAGCCTTTGGCCTTTTGATGATTCAGCCTGTGATAATGATGACCACCTTGCCTTAGCAAAAACACGATTTATTTTTGAAACCACTGCATCTTTTCCTGGGAGAGCAATGCTGAGTGGTCACATTTTTCCACTTTCACAGCTGTGATAGATTTATGCCTGATCTCAGGATTTTTTTATTTCAATGCACTAATCCTTTTCCATTGATGTTTGCTGCATTATTCCAGAGAACAGATCTTAAACACTGTAAGGCAACAAAAACCTCTTTTTGTTTGTTCTCAGAGAATTTTCCTGTTTAACTTAAATTTATTTCAGCTGGTGACAAAGTATGGCAAAGGAAAGGGAAAAAATTAATCTTGCCTGTACTTCCCACCGTTTTTGTGTAAAGTACCATTTATACAGCACAACTCTGTCTTGTAAATTTGAAGAAAATTACTTTTTATTAAACATTAAAAAAAAAAAAAGAAATACATCAGGAAACTGCACTGCGTTGCAATAGGTAAAACTGCAATTCTGTTTTAGGATATACTCCTTCCCCAGCAAAATACCTCTGAAATGAAGGAAGAGGGGAAAAGCATACCCATGAAAAAGAGTTCTCCATAGAACTTAAGGAGGCAGGACAGGAATAATAATTTCTGTTGCTAACAGTGCTTCATCTGAAAAATCCCCTTGTTTTTTCAGGAGCACCCTTCAATTTATTATTTCTGTAGAATTAATGTCATCATCTAAAAGAGAAACAGGTATCCTCTAAAAGAGAAAGGAGAAAAAATATTGGAGATCTTTTTAAAGCAGAGTTCATGACAGATTTTAATGATCATTCAACAGTTTGTCAGATTTACTTCACACATTGTAAAGCATTTTTAAGAACTAAAGGGTAGAATATCTGAAGTACATTACAGTTGTCATGCATTACTATAATACTGTTGTTTCCATTTTTATTTAAATTCCGAGTAGCATTGTGAAAAATGTGTAAGTCTGTTCTTAACTTGATTTTCAGTGGGTTTTCCTGGTATTAATATTCAAGCAAATAACTATAACACTGTCCTATAAGCCATCTGGGTTATTATACAGTAAAACAGAAGAAAACAACGTATGTGGACTTTAAAATTTACGCCTATGTATTTAAGAAGATCTGAGAGGATGAAACAGGATTAATACTTTCTTTTATAACAGATTCTAGCCTGACACAGACAGAAACCACTTTCTCATTTGTTAAGTTGTAGGTGAAAATGTAATTGTGCTAGTCTCTAATACCCACAAATGTCACTTAAGTGCCAAAGGACCATTCTGGGTGACACATATGTGCTTGTGTATTTGTTATTTTTAACTAAAGGTACCTGAATGTTTTGCAAACCACTGAAGGGATTTTGAATTTGCCTTGTAAAAAAAATTGTGAAATTCAGACTGGCCCCTGTTATAGTCAAACCTCTGAAACTGATTACAATATATTTCTCTGAGGAAGACTTTTTCTTTATTATCTCACACACAAATAATGACAGAGAGTAGGCAATAAAACTAGAGGCCATTGAGGTCTGGTGAAGGTGCAAAGCCCTAAAGCTTAATTGATCTCTTTTGACCAGTATTTACCACAGCACATATTGCTGTAGCACAGATAGACTCCAGAAAGACTGAAATAAATGCCGACATAAAATGTAGCTTTCGTTTCACTTCGCAGCTTTTTTATACAATTGAAATGTGCTTTCTCATAGCTGTTCAGGTCCAGGTCAGATGGACAGAAGGCTCCCTGAGGGCTTGTTCCTGCCCTGATGGACCATGGAGTGCCACTACTGTTAGTGCGGTTACTGGAGAATAATATGAGTTGTTGTAGCAGTTCTCAGTGGTACCAGTGCGAGGGGGTTAACATTTCTTTGAATTTGTGCTGGACTAGGAGAACAAGGATGTGACTTCCTGCATCCTGCACAGGAGTTGCCTCTGCTTTTTTTTCCTCCCTATTTTGCCTTTTTATGGCTGCTAAAGTATGCATACGTATGAACCATAGTTTTCTGAAGAGTACTTGCTCTGAGACTGAGAGAATGCCAGGAGAGGATGATGGCAATTCATCTACCCTACCAAGACACTCCTGAATTGAAAAAAATGTGCTAATTTCCAAACTTTATTAGTTGTTCCAAAGTGGAGTTGGTCTGTTGGCTAAATTTGGCTTACATGAAAACCCTATTGGTCAAGTCAGTCATCTGGTAGTGTTCACACTATAGTGACTGCAGAGGTTGCAAGGCAAAGGATCCAGAATGCAGAAAGCTAGGAACAAACAGGTGAGGATCTGAGATACATGCTTCTGACTAGAAACTGTTGATGTCCAAAGCAGAAAAAAAACCCTACTGTAGTCCTTCCTTTGTCTTGTTTTGTATCCTTTTTTCAAGCAAAGGAAAAAAAAAAAAGCATATTTTTTCTCTTCTGCTCTCTCTAGATGCTCACATTTGAGTAGCAGGTGTCTAAGCATTTCAGACTTCTGCTGTCAAAACAACGCAGATTCTTCCACAAAAATTCCAACTATTTGATCCTAAAGTGTGCAGTAAAATCAAAACTTAGGCTCCAACTGAGTTTAGCTGAGGAGGAACACAAAGGTGGCCTCTTGATTTTGCTATTTTTTTGATGAGGTAATATTTTTTGAATTTAAGAAGACATCATTCACTTTAGTTTCTCAAAGAAATAAACTCCACAGTCATGAACACTAAGTAGAAGCGGTAGCTAACCAAATCTCTGTACTGAATCCTTCACCCTTACTGTTACAATCAAGGCCGTTGTTACACACACCCATAGAAATGGAAATTAAACTGCTCTTGAGGTACAGAAGTGTCCTTCCCTTCCTCTGCTCTCTTTACCTAATTTGGCGTTTTTAACATTCAAGTAAAAATGTATTGGGACCCCTGGTGGCCTAGTGGTTAGCATGCAGGACTCTCACTGCTACGACCCAGGTTCGATTCCTCGGTCCCCTGGGCAGATGGAGCCCGTTAGCCCTGTGAGGCCATCCATCTATGAGAAGGTCACTCTAAACAAACCTACGTCCTGAGGACCTCACTGCCATTGTCCAAGCTTGCTTGGCCCCGGCAGATGATAATAATAATAATAACGGCCAGTCTTCGCGAATGAAGATTTTGGGAAAGGTCTTTTACCTTTCCAGCCTGCGCAATGGATTTTTTAGGTGAGACACAGCCTGCGCTGAACTGAGCCCACCCTTTAATCCTAAGGTTCATCTGCCGGGGCCAAGCAAGCTTGGACAATGGCAGTGAGGTCCTCAGGACGGAGGTTTGTTTAGAGTGACCTTCTCATAGATGGATGGCCTTACAGGGCTAACGGGCCCGGGGGACCGGGGATTCGAACCTGGGTCGCAGCAGTGAGAGTCCTGCATGCTAACCACTAGGCCACCAGGGGTCCCGGCAGATGAACCTTAGGATTAAAGGGTGGGCTCAGTTCAGCGCAGGCTGTGTCTCACCTAAAAAATCCATTGCGCAGGCTGGAAAGGTAAAAGACCTTTCCCAAAATCTTCATTCGCGAAGACTGGCCATTATTATTAAAAATGTATTAGACTCCACATTTGCACATCTTTCACCCCATTTATTTTGTTGAAACTGATTAGTTTTTATCCTTTTAGCTAGGAAGTGTCATGCCATGAGATTAGCACACTGGGCACACCTTTTAAAGTGTTTTCATATTATATTATTTGTGAGAGACATTCTTACTTCAGAGTATATTTGGCTATGCAGTTTTATGTTCCTTCTTCAAGCATAATGCAAATCCTGCCAAACACATGGAGAAATTTGAATTCATTTCAGTGGGCTTTCAGCTGTGCCTGTGCACCTCAAAAGAACTTATTGTGTCTGTTACTGTAATAGAATAAATTAGACAAACTCTCTTCTTAATAACCAAGAGAATTTTGCTAAAGCCATTGACATTCCACAAAATATGAAGGTTTTGGGCTGGTTTTATTTTTGAAGGATTTTGTTTTTAGACTTCCATATATTTGATTATTAATGGCTCTTTAATCTTGAAAAAATAATAAGGATCAGTTGTTAGAAGCTGAGTTTAGGAAAATTTGGAGCTGGAAATAAGGTGGAGTGAGAGTAATGAACCATTGGAACAGTTTACTATAAGATGTGCTGTAAATTCTCCATTACTTGGAGGCATTGAATCATGACTAGATGCATGTTGAAAAGACATGCTCTAGTTCAACCATGAATTTTTGGACTTGATGGTGGAATTATTGGGGGAAATCTACAGTCTAGTTATGCAGGAATTTAACAAGGTGATAAAAACGCTTCCTAGAAGCCCTGAGATCTCTATTTTCAATCAGAATATATTGGGCTACTCTTAAGTAAAAACTATATTAATCTATTTCTTGTTTACAAAGTTTTAGTGCAAAAATTAATTAAAATATTATCAATATATCAAAATATAATAAAATTCCATAATAATAATAATGATCAGATAATGGTGGAGGCTAGCAATATAATACAGGTTAGCCACTAAAGAGAGAATCTCTTTGATTTCAAATATGAGTTTTCCATCAGAACTATGAATCCAGCTGATAATTAGCAGTTGGAAGAATTATGTCTTATTATTTATGTCTTATCATTGACATTAAAAACTTTTTCACTGGTTTCAAATGGGAATCTGAAAGAACCTTACTGCGACAAGGATATTTTTCATTCTGAACCCACTAAACTCAAAATGTTAATTAAGCCTCCCGAGAAATATTACTTTGTGGATTAATCTTGATCTTTAAACCATAGGGACTTGCTTTGTTTAGAAAGGCTTCAGAAAAATACATAGAGTTTTTGTAACAACTTTCTACCCCACCTGTGGGGGTGAAAACATTATGGGTAAAAGGTTACAGGTCAAAAATGAAGGAAGAGAGCTGAGAGGAAACTCAGACATGGTGGCTGTTCAGAGGTGCCACAACCAAAGGCATACTACATTCTTCATGTAGATATGATCCTTGATCCTGTGTCTTATGAAAATATACAGCAGTCTCATTTTTAAAAAAGAATGACAACACATCTCTTGATACTATCTCAGAGAGAAAACTGATTTCAACTACCCCAATGGAAAAAATTACTGTAATTTCATCAAGTATGTGAGACAAATGTTTTCTAAGAAATTTTTCATTAAAACTAGCAGTGATAAAAATGTTACAAATAATTAACCAGAATCCTTAGATTCCCTTAGATTGAAAATGATACCACTTTTGAGACAGAAAGTGAGAAAAACTCAATACATCAATATCTTGAGCATGTGAGCCATGACACCATAAGGTGCAGAATTCAATTCAGTGTTGCAGCCTTTTTTATTTAAGAGGATTTCCTGTTTTGATGCACTTTTGTATTTTTCCTATTACCATGCTAGCGTGTCTCCTGTATATTTTTCCTGTAAATGCCCCTCAGTAGTGTGACACATCTCAGGATATTGAGGATCCAGCTATTCCATTGGTCAAGCATCTGATAAGTGAACCTTACATCCCACAATATTTTCTAGGTAAGAAATTAGGCAAAACCAGAGGACAAATCTTTAAAACTGGACAGATGGCCATAGAGTTTCTAAAACTTTGGAGAAGATTCATAGTTTGATCTGTTAAGCAGGTCAGCCTTCTTTATCCACTTCTGGCTAAACAGAATTTCCTATAAAGCAGCTCACTGTAATTTTCCCAACCAGCACGTCTTTCCTAGCTTACCCTAAAATCCACTTGTGTATATAATTTGAACATCCCAGATAGCTTTACAAATGACAAGACTCTGTTTTGAATCAGCATCTTCATAGGTTCTAGTAAGAAGTTAGTGTATCTTAAGCACTAGCAAACACATAAAAGCAGTTAGGGAAAGCTGTCTCAGCCTCTGTCTTGGATATCTGAACTCCTCTAAAAATGTAATTGTTGATTATTGGTGAAAAGACTAAATTATTAACTCAATTTCTTCTGACTGTATCTGGATGGAACTACATGCTTAATCATTTTCCTTTCTTTAAGTCTTCTAATTGAAATACTAATAGCTGGAAAATAAAGGTTACTGCCATGTCAAACTAACATTGATGATTTACATCACATACTATGCAAATTTATATGTCTTTGATGACACATCTCAATCCTGATGGTCAAGTGGTGAAATGTAGAATGTGGATGTTTTTAGAACGTAGAGTTTTTTATTTGGGACAAAGCCTCAGCAAAGCATTACATTTGATCTCTAATTTCCTTTAGGAACAAAGCTGTTTCGCAACTTTGGAATGGTTGTTTAAAACCATCATCTTTCTGCTTATACTATCTCTCTCCCTCGGCCATGCATACTTCGCTAGTCTGTTCATGGCTTTAGAAACAGGAGCTGTGACATTAGTGTCATGGCCATTATTTGGGATATTTTGCAAAGAAACCTGATGCTTGTGCACTTAGGAATGTAAAGGCTTGCTTCTTTCACTACTTTGTGTAAATTCCCCTGTTCTGATTACAGTTCATTATATTGATTGCAGTTGAGAATCAAGAGACAATGTAATCTACTGGTTAGGATACTGATCTGGGCTTCTGGTTGTATTCCTTGGTCAACTACTGTTAACTGCCTGAGAAAATCACTCTGGGAACTTTGAATTTCTATTCCTTCTCATAGCTGTTTGCCCTGCTTATTTAAATTGCCATCTGTCCAAGTTGGAAGGATTTCTTACTGTGCACATGTAGAATTCCCATCAAAGTAGGAATTTTCATCAGTACCCATCTGCACTTGCTAACTAATGTAAACACAAAAACCATGTTTACTTGAAAGAAACTTTACATTTTTTGATGTAAGACTATGATTCTTCTAGTGGGTTCAGCTGTGCACAGGTGAGAACAGAAAGCTCTCAGGGACAGACCTACCCTGTGTAAGTTCCCTGTATTTAGGATTAGAGTTAGATTTATCAATTTATCAAAATAATATGTGGTGGGGGTGGCACTTGGTACAGAATCAGGCAGAATCAGTCTGAAGGATTTCTAATATTGGTCAACACATCCTATGAGTGAGAAGCTAACTACATAATGAACACTCAGTATGTGCTGGAAGCTATGTATTCCTATAATCACTACGGCTAATCCACTTTGGAAATGAGATATAAGTAAGTGTTTCCAGGCATTTACTGAATGAACAGTGCTTAAAAATTGTCTTCCTGCACCTACAAGCAAATTCAATCTGTATCTTTGCAATTTAGAAGTTATTCTGACTTATGTATCATCAGAAAAGGTAGGTATGGCAACTCTAATGTCAGCACTGTAAACTGCCTCATTGTTTATTTCTTTTTCTGGAGACACCCAGCTAATACGTTTATTCCATAACCCAGTAACTGCTCTAGTGTCATTGCCAAAAACACAATTGCTTTGTTTCCAGTTGCCAAAACCTCTAACTTTCACCCATACAGCTTTCATGGTGTTAGATAAATAAAAGTAAAATAAACCAAACTGAACATATAAATAACACCAATAAATTGTTATGCTAAACATGTTCTCATGCTCATTCAAAAAAAAAAGCCTTCCATTAAGAAAAAATTTTGTCTGTCTTTCTAAAAAGACATGATAAAAAAGTAGTTTGTATTTAGACTCAAGTTGTCATATACTGATATAATTTTGATTTTAGAGAAAGTATAAGTATAAATCTCAGTACTTTATATACTATATAAAGTATATATTTCTACATGAGAGACTGGGTTGCAATACTAGCTTTTAAACATGTGCTTACTCTATAGGTGTAGCTGTTATAAAGTAACTGTAAAATGTTTAGCAATGAATTCCAGTGTTAGTAGCCTACAAGAGATGTTCTGACTTTGACTATATATGTGCATATGAGAGAGTGTCATGCTTTCTTTCTCCAGATCTTAAGGATAGACCTACAGAGCAAGACAAGCTTCTCCTATGAGCTAGGAATGAGTAGCCATACTTGGTTTTCTGTTGGTGAACAAAATTAAAAGAAAAGGTAACACAAAGATACTTACAGTCTTGATAAAATTACCCATTTCAAAAGGTAGGTTGCATATTAAAATAAACTTAGTAAAAGCATGGAGACTTTATTTGGTGATAATTTGCAATATTTCTGTTGAATATGTATTGAGCATAATTCCATGACGAATGGCATATCCTTTCTTGGTGTTGCAGGGAAAGTGTTTGCACTTGAGTCCAAGAACAACTCTCAGGGTCTGGATTTAGCTGAAGCTGAGAAAGCTTGTGTTGACCTGAGCGCTCGCTTAGCAACTGCAGAAGAACTGAAAAGGGCTGTTAAGGACTGTTCTTTTGCTGGCTGCACCACGGGATGGCTCGCCAGTGGCTCCGCCGGGTAAGGACAACAGCATAACACTTTCTGAGAAGTATGAATGACAGTTGTTAAGCAAGTTTTTCCTCCTTGACTAAGAATATAACTGAAAAACTGGCCACAATTCAAGCACCATGACATATAGTGAAATATGCTGCTGTCCCTCCAAGGATTAATTTTTTACAGCTAGTATTGCAAGCACACAAATCTTCATCGGTCTCAGATTATATATTTCACAGCTTTGAGGCAATTTCCTCTTCTTTCCTTCTGAATTACCTCACTATGGTCCCTGTTTTCTTGGCCTGTAGTGGGGTGCTGAGCCCTAAATAAGCTTGCAGGTTGAGGGCACAGTGCTGCAGCTAGCATCAGTGCTCCTGCTGACTCTGTTATTCTCCGCTATTTAAGAAGCTCAGCAAGTTGAACTTCTCATGGAAATCATGTATCTGCCTTAGGTATTGACCTATGCCTGAACAATAGGCACGTTCAAATAGGTACAGCTTTAGGTGCACTTAGATATGATAACACATGTGTGGTATAGAGTTTGTTGAGAGAGCCCACCAGGGAACTGATGTTGTCCCTCAATGTGTTTGAGGCAGCTCAGGGGACTTGGGCAGCTCAGGTGGCTTAGCACTAGGATGAGCTTTGCCTTGCACTACAGATAATGTTGCAAGGCGTGATGGCCTGACACAGCCCCCTCCATGAAGCATTGTTGCTCCTGTAGAGACCAATTTAAAACAGGAATGTAGAGGTGTCCTGTGGTGGAAACCGCTTCCCTCTGTTGATCATAGTTTCATGAGGCTACAGTCAACCTTCACAAGTACTCCAGAGGTCCCACCTACTTCCAGTGGAATTCAAAATTTTGAGAACGTATGTCCACACAGGTGCAGCTATGTGCCAGAACCAGTATGGCCCTGACACAGTGCCACTCTGCTGTGGCTGATAAGGGCTTCCCAAACTCAATCTATCTCATTCCAGTCTTGCACAGAACTGGCCATATGTGACTGCACTGGGCCAAGCACTTACATCCTAACTGTCCAGTCTGTTCAAAAATTAAAGTCTTCACAGCATGCCTCAGGAACAGGTAGACAGGCTTCATAGTTGACAAAGGGATCAAATCATGGCATGAATGTCTCATGTCCCTGAAGCTGGGACCATACAGGAAAAGGTAGATATATTCCCAGAAGGAGTATATCTAATCTATTGTCAATGTTCAGTGGTGATGAAGTTTTGTTTTATCAAAATACTGTTTTGAAGTTCCCAAACTTTAGAGTGTTACTGGATTTTGTGACAGTTATCAGTCACTTAAGTAAGCATCAGCATTTCTGTATTTTTAGTGATAAAATTCCCAAAGGACAAAAAATTGCTGCTATTAAATGAAAGGCAGTACTTAAACAATTTCAAGCAAAAGCAACTATTTTCAGTGATTCTCATTTTTCCCAGGTGAAAAATCATTTGAAAATTTGTATGTACTTTTAATCTTTAAAAAAAAAATCCAGAAATCTCTCAGTATATAAGACAGTGATCTAAACCCTAAACATTTTTTTCTTAAGACAGTTGCTGACATGTTACACAGGCTAAAGACCCAGGAAAACAAACAACTCTAAGAAGTGCATGGCAAAGTTGTAGGTAGGGTCTTTTATGTAACTTCTGTATTCTGGAAGTAAGGAATGATGACAGGTAGGAGAAAATCAGCCCTTTTTTATCTAAGCAATACCACTAGTTAGTCCTGTGAGATCCTTAATTAATTACTGCAGGCACTGGAGTTACAACTATTGATAGAGGAGGTGTGGACCTACCCCTGAATATCCTCAATATCAAAACTGTGTACAGTGATAAAAACACATCATACTAATGGGAAGGAAAGGAAGATTTTTCATCTCTTCCAACTTACCATACACATTCCTCCAGTAAGCTGTCCTTAGTACGGAAGTCTCTAAACTATTTATCAGAAAGAACATTGTGGGGGCACATCAGCACACCTCTGCTGTGCATTCACCACATCTGACCTTCACTGGAGAGCTTCACCAGAGAGAAGTTCTGTGGAGCTGGAATTTTATACTCTGGGGCTATTTTACCCATGGCTGGGCAAGCACCAGGAAGTATGTTACTTGGTTCGTTGAACTGTATATTTTTGACTCTGGGGAAAAATAGAAACTGTATAATGCCTAAAAAGGCTATACTGGTTTCATTGATAGTTAATGCAGCTCTGGAGAAAGAAACGAGCCGTCGAGTGCAAAGTATGCAAGTGGGACAAAGTTGTTCAAGTTGAACAAGTTCAAGTTGAATATAGAGATTTATAGAGGGATTTAGGTGAACAGGCAAAATTATTCCAAATGGAGTTCAATGATAATACATACAGGGGAAACATGCAATCTACTTGAAAATATCTTCATAGGGTTCTGACTTACCTCTATCAGTCCACCAAAGATGTGAGGACATCACTATGAACAGCACAAAGAAAACCACTGTCAGACTGCAGCTGTAGTAAAAATAGACAAACAAACAAGCAAACAAAGAAGCTGCTAGAGTGCTTATGGAATGGGATGGAGAATATGAAAAAAACGTATACTAATAGGTCAGTGTAAAAGCCTCCTTTGGAATATTATATGTATTGTTGTTACTGCATCTTAGGAAAGGTACTAAAGAGTCTCAAAAAAATGGCTCAAGAATGATAAAATGAATGGAAAAGCTATTAAGAATGGACTCAAAATATTTTACAAAATTATTTCATTTTTAAAATTTACCTATTCAATACTTCGGGCATTTACTTGATAAATGGAAACGTGACAGCAAGAATAGAGGATAGCTGATATACAGAAAAGCCTCAATCAGCTGATTTAACACAGAGAGGGGAAAGCAGGCTTCACAGCATGCCCAGAGGTTAGAGAAGTAGGGGAAATTATTTTCAAAATAAAGGACTCATCGTTGGACATGCCTTGTGTTATTTATCTAGATAGACCTCCACATCTTTGAATGAGAAGTGACCTCCCCACGTTTGCCAGGGCCACAACTGTTCAGGACTTTATAGGTTGGATCAAAAATCTTGGAATCCTGCCAGCAGCTGACTGGCATCCAGTGCAGATCACAGAGCTTTAGTCTAATATTCTCCCATATCCTTTTGGACTGTGTGCATCAGAAAGGAGATGAATAGGAGGGAATATGATAAAAGAAGTTCCTTATTTCAGAAAGAATGAAGTTTGGTTTGTTTATTTGGTGCCTGGAATGTATCCCAATCTTTCTCCTGAGGAAAAATGGATTAGACATTGGCAGTAGAAGTAAACACAAACAAATTATGTGAGTGAAGTCATTATAGTGTTACAGATTTTCTTACATGCTTCTACCCTCCTTTCACCACTTAGACTTAAAACTGAACAGGAGCTCTAGCAGACATCTAGCATTCCCTGCTAGATCCATTTTTCATGTTTTGTACAAGTCAGTGATTTGTTCACTTCTGATGGCTATTTTATGGTTTTAGGGAATAATCACAATCCCACTCCAAGTAAATATATCCATCACTGTTGGTTGTTGTGTCCTTACTATTATTTTTATGGCCAAATCAGGGCCTGGAAACCTGTGGGAGTTTTTCCTCTTATGACTTAGGCATATCACCGAGTCAGTGTGAGCGTGTTTATATTGCCTGCTCTCTGGGCTATACATCTTATATGGGCAAAGATGAGAATTTGGTCTAAAGAATCAGCCCAGTTTGGCTGAGTGTCAAATTAATTTCTGATGACTTGTGTGTAAATGCGGATCCATATGTAAGTATGCAAAGTTTTCAAGATTATAATGGAACACCTTCTGTTCACTTGTGGCCACCCAGCTCACTCCAAGCTACTTCTTACTGACCCACTGGAGGGACTGTTCCCTTCTCAGCCATGCAGGTAGATATGCTCATGTCTGGTCTATTTTAAGTCAGAAGTAAATAGAGTGGGCCACCAGCTACGTTAGGGTGCTAAAAACATTGCCCTGCAGAGAGTGATGCTCGTGGAAGAAGACACCAATCTTCTGATGGAGATGCTTGTGTTGCACTCTCTAACCCACTTCAGTCCCTGCAAACTGGGCTATCCCAAGCAGCAGGTCTTGACAAATATGATTCATTTCAACTGATGTAGAATGGAAATTGCTTAAACAAATAGATCCTTGCCAGCAAATCCAGAGACACAATAAACTGGGTGGTTTTGTGGTTTGAGCAGCCTGAGACAGAACCTCTTTCACAGGCATAAGGGGATGTTTTTGTCTTCCACTTTCAGTTGTTCATACCAACCCAATTCAGAGTTCAGGGCTCTTCGCACAGACAAGTCACTGGCAGGTCCAAGGACTTGGGAACTTTTCGAGAAGAGCCAATGACAAAGTTGTCAGGGGTAACTTCTTCCAGCAGCCCAGAAGAAATTCGTTTACAAGTCAGTCCTGACATGTGTAACTTATTATTATTACACATTGTTGCATTTCAGGAAATGAAATGTCGTTAGGCAAGTCTCATTTGTCAGATGAGCCCTAATAGCTATTTATACTAAAAATGACACTCTTATGACTTACTTGCATGTCAGACAAGTGAGTCAGTAAAACCATCAAGTAATCTGCCAGAATATAAATGGAAAAAAGGTGGCAGAGTTCTCTGAAAGGCTCTCACTGCTATCTTTTGAATTTAGACGTCATACTGGAAAACCTGGGCAGTGTGTCTTGTAGGGTCTTATATTCTTTTGTGGGGTTTTTGAAATTTGGAAAGTGAACACAACACAATTGGTCTTATGATCAACCCCGTGCACAGAGTATTAGAAAGCAGCTATTTATTTTGGAAATTGTTAAACATCCTCAAGAGCTTGTACTAATATATTCATAGCAAATTTACTCATTTCCATTGCTTTTCTAGGACTGAAAAGCTGAAGCTGTCCTATTCCCTATCCTGTTCCTTATTTGCCTACAAAAGAATGAAGCCATGTATCCCTCTATGACAGCTTTGAATCTCTGCATAGAATTTCAGTTCTATGATAGACCTCCTGCAGGGCTGTCAACCTGTTCCCTTG